CATTGTGCCAGGGAATCTTCCTGTTCCTGCTGGGATGGTGGCTCCCCAAGGGAAGGGACCAGGCTGGCTGGGGCTGTCAGCTGGTGCGGCGGGACACTGTGCCACGTGGGGGTGTTTCTGCTGTTGTGTTTTGACAGAATGTGCATATGTGATCATGCAAGCGCTTTGTGCCACATTGGCAGTTGGAGTTACTTCATAGTTGTGTGTTGGGCTCCTCACATTTTGGTAGGAAAATGTTTATGGTTTTCTCAGAATCTTCCAGTTCCTTGGTTGGATGTTTTCCCACTATCTTTATTTTGATTTCTTCCTCCACAAATTTCCTTTTGGAATATCTGGAGGTGTTTATGCCTGCCTTCTCCGATCGAGTTGATTAGTTGTTGTGAAAGGGATGGAATCTTGTGGCCTCGGAGAAAGTGGCAGTGAAACTCGCATTGAAAACTGTTCTGCATCTGGCTGCATGAGCTGATTTTGTTCTGGTCGCTAATTATAACCTGGCTCCTTGTCAGAGAATTTAGAAAGAGAGAAGCAGCTGCTTTCTCATAGGTGGATACACTGGTTGGCTTCTTTCCTTTTTGCCCCCTTTTTCTTTTTTTAAAGCACTTTAATAATTCCTTCCAAATATGTCAATCACATGTTGGCTTTTAACCATCTATGTGGCAGTGTATTCTACTGCTTTGCATAGATTAGTTTATTAAAGATGATTAGTATGGCTTGTATTTGACTTGGCAATGTATGGCAGTAATTATATGCAAACTTGGAAATGTTTATCAATGTGTATGTTAGTTTCAGAATTTTTTAAAAAATCAAAGTTTCTGTGTCTGACTTGAGCACACACATCAATATATTACAATGAGGATGGTAATGTATAGAAAAAAATCAAAATTGCAAGTTTGGTGTTTTCTGTAAAGTACTTAGATTTGTTGATACACTGGTTCCTGTGTAAGTTTGCATTTTTCAAGATAATTAGAAAATTTTTTATTTGAAATGCAGAATAATGGTGGTATAGAGAGGAAAAACAGAGAGGGAGTGATTTCCATGCTTCAATGCACTCCCCACATGCTTACAGTAGCCAGGACTGAGTCTAGTCAAGGTCGGAACTCCCATGTTGGTCTCCAGCGTGGATGATGGGGACCTGAGCAGTTGGGTCATCATCCACTATTTGGCCAGATACATTTGCAGGAACTGCGATCAGAGTTGAAGCCAGAACTTGAATGTGAATGTTCCCATGGTTGGCTGACTTTGCAAACAGTAGCTTAACCCATGGTGCCATCATGCCAACTACATTAACAAATACTTTTAAAAAATTTTTATTTGAAAGGCATATTTACAAGCAGAAGGAAAAATATTTTGGTATAAGTCATATTCAGACATAAGTATATGTAAACATCTTGGCAAGCAGGGTGTTGGGATTGGAATGATCATGGGTAGTATAGGATTGGTGAAAGGAGTACCTCTGATGACCTTGGAAAAGTACTTCACTTTGCGTCGTATTTGCCAGGTGAACAGTGACTAATTATGTGTCCTGCTTTGTCACACACATGACCGTGGTTGTGTATCCTTTTGAATTTCATGCAGAAGACAAGTCAGATGAAGGATTAGGAGTAGATTTCAGTAGTTTAGCTTTTACAGAATGCTTTAAACTAAACAGTGGGCTGGCTTGTAGGATGTTTGATTTAGACTCTTCCCTGATGCTTTTGAACTCAGAAATCTTCAACAAGGCTTCTTGACCTCTGTGGGCCATAGTTGCCCCATTTCTAAAATGAACGCGCTGTAGAAGTGTACCTTTGAAATCTCTCCTTTTTAAAATTTATTTTTATTACAAAGTCAGATATACAGAGAGGAGGAGAGAGGAAGATCTTTCATCTAATGATTCACTCCCCAAGTGGTTACAACAGCCAGAGTTGTGCCGATCCAAGACCAGGAGCCAGGAACTTCCTCCAGGTCTCCCACGTGGGTGCAGGGTCCCAAGGCTTTGGCTGTCCTCCACTGCTTTCCCAGGCCACAAGCAGGGAGCTGGATGGGAAGTGGAGCTGCCGGGATTAGATGTGGTGCCCATATGGGATCCCAGCATGTTCAAGGAGAGGACATTAGCTGCTAGGCCACCACGCTGGGCCCAAAATCTCTTCTTACTTAAAAGTTTTGTAGTTTTATTTAAGGTGAAATATTTTCCCGAGTCTTCCCTTTCTACTGATGTTTTGGGGTTTGACATTTTGAAAGAAAACTATCTTTATGGTCACATTTGGGTTTAACTACTTTGAAGATAGGTTGTAAAATTTTGGCCCTACATTCCTGAACGAAAAACTTGAGTTCCATGTATGACTGGTTTTTCCTGTGTTTTCCTTTGGGTATCTGGGCAGCCTGGTGTGTTACGATGTGGCTGTGTGATTGCTGACAGCAACTCTGCAGTAATTACAGGCAGCTGATTGAGGCTGCTGCAGTGCTGCGTGGGAATGGCATGCAGAAAGATGGAAGGCCAACCCAACTCCCTCATTGGACAGATAAGACTTCAGTGTTCAGTCTGTATCAGAGAATACCGATTAAAACTTCCTTGGTTCAAATACCTCTGTGAACCTATGCCATTTTCTCAGACCTGGCTAGGAATCACCTTTCTAACGTTGTTATTTTGATGTTAAATAACTGTCTCTGAGAAAGAAAAGAATTGTAATCTCTTTTCCAAAGTATTTTTGGCCTTCAAAAACAGCTCACTCTCTCTTCTCGACTCAGTACTTATTTATCAAACTGACACCATTTGGAACATACGGAGACACACTGTGTTCTTCTTACCTTCCCAAGTGCCAGAGCCTGGAAGGGGCGGCACTCTTGTCTCTCCCGGTGCAGTGTACAGAGACAGGCAACAGGACAGATGCGATTACTGTGTCTAGATGCCACTATGACACAGTATGCTACAGTTACATGGTCCACTTCCTTCTGTCACTGAGGAGGTACCGGCGGGTCATACAGTGACATTGTCTCACCCCAGGCTGCCCAGACACTGAAGGGAAAGCACAGGGAAAACCAAAGACACGTAGGTGCTGTGCCGACAAGTCAGTGCTGGGTGTGAGCGATGGTAGAGAAGACGAGCAGGGGGCTTTGGGGAGAGAGTCCACACGGTTCAGAGGAAGTGAACGCTCCTGGTCTGAGGGGAGCAGCATGGGAGGAAGCTCAACTCGGTCCCCAACAACTCCAGTCGCCTTAGAGCAGGAGTGTGCCTAACAGGGCGAAGCGGCGAGTCGGGGAAAGAGCGGCGTCAGTTTGGGCCATGGGAATGATTTTAGATACTTGATGTATTAATGTGAAAGCCATCTGGGAGTTTTGGACAGATGTGTAATTTTAATTCAAAGATATTTATTGACCACCCACTGGGTCAGTTACTGCTCCTGGTACTGTGGACACAGCAGTGAGTAATTTATGCCTCGCAGAGGGTTCGTGTTACACTGTGTGACCGGGCTTCAGTTTTCGAAGGATCCTTGGGATTAACTGGGAAAGGGTCGGATCTCAGCCACCAGCGTGTCACTGCAGTCCCGGTGACAAAGGAGCATGGCGTCAGCCGGAGACGTAGCTAGTGCGTAGTCTACCAGGTCTTCAGGCTGTAAGGCATGACTATCAGTTCAAATAAACACATTAAAAAAGTGAAAAATATGAGTGACTTAGAGCAGGGTGCAGCACATATTTTACATGTCAAGGGTTTTGTAGAGAATTAAAAATCAAGACAGAACCGGTAGGATTTTCTGAAGACGTCATGAAGATTATGAATGATTAAAGGAGAACATTTCTTGGTTATTTTTTGACCCACTCTAAACTTGGTAGAGGAAAATGAAGAATTGGACATTGCTTTGATGTGTATATTTGCAATGATGCTCCTGGAGAAATATATCTAGTACTCTGTGCTTCACATACTAGAAGTGAGATGAATTAGAGTTTGGTGAGGTTAGAGGTGAGGGCTCGAGTGACTCCTGCGTTTGGAAGCTGGGTGGTGAAGTAGAGCCAAGAGGACAGAATGGAGAAGGATATGGCGGAAAGCTCAGGCTGGGGGTCCACGTAAGGGGATATCTCACCAAGGGACGAGCGAGTTTTGCATGGTGATGCTGGCAACAGAGGCTGCTGAGTTTTGAGTCTTTGCAGATTTTCTTGCAAAATCAGAGTAACAAAGAGAAAGATAAACTGAATGTGTGAATACTGGATGGTGGTGGTTACTGAAATGTGGAACACTCACACCGAATGGACTATTGGCAAAGGAAGCTGTTCCGGTGTGCCTCGGCTGGGTGGTGTCCGTGGAGAATGACCGTAACCGTGCGATCCTAGAAAGTCCGACTGGGCCACCTCCGAAGGAACAGGTCCTAGACCACAGACCTGACGCCAGAGTGCTCTGCACTCACCAGTGTCTTGGAAGTACCCGGAGAATGTCCGTCTTTGAGAATGAATAAAAGGAAATACTGAAGACTGTGACGAACCATGAAAGGAAGGCAGCCATTCATCTACTGATAGAGGAGAGGTGCAGAGCGGTCAGTTGTCAGAAAGTACTGAGGCGGTTTACCTCGGGCAGGCACAGTGGACTAACGTCTAAAGTCCTCACCTAGAACACACTTATCCCATATGGGCACTGGTTCTAATCCCAGCAGCCCCACTTCCTATCCAGCTCCCTGCTTGTGGCCTGGGAAAGCAGTAGAAAGCCTTGGGACTCTGAACCCGCGTGGGAAACCCAGAAGAAACTCCAGGCTCCTGGTCTTGGATCAGCTCAGCCCTGGCCGTTGTGTCACTTGAGGAATGAACTGGTAGAAGGAAGATCTTCATCTCTTTCTTTCTCTCTGTATATCTGACTTTACAATAACAATAAATCTTTTTTTTTAAAGTCTGTTTTAGAAGGTATCTTTTATGTGTTTTTGTTATTAGTGATGTATATGTAATTAACCCACTCCATCATATTTGGGGAGAAAGTTAATGCTCTTATTCTTCAGAAAACAAAATGGAAGAGCCAATCATGCTTTACTTTTTTCTTTCAGGAGAAACATAAGCAGGAGCTGGAAGACATGAGGAAAGCGGGACACGACGCTCTCAGCATTATTGTGGATGAATACAAGGTAAAGGTTTGAGGTTCTGCTGATTTTTTTTTTAAACCTAGGATAACTCCAATAAAAAACATACATGCTCACACATGTGTGTACGAACATGTATAAATAGTGGATATGTAATATCACTTTACATTGGTGTACAGCATAAGGTTTGACCAACACATGCTCATCGAAATTACACTCAGGAAATTGGGAAGGTGATGCTCAATATGGCTTTGGATTTGAAGAACTTACAAGTAGATAGAGAAAGCCAGAGCAAGGCAGAAAGCAGCTGGTTCACCTCTTACAAAACAGTTGCAACAGCCAGGACCGGAGCAGGTGGAAGTCAGGGGCATGAAACTCAGTTGAGTTTGAGTTGGAGATCCCATGGCATCAAGGACGCAAGTACTTGAGCCATTACTTGCTACCTTGCAGGGCGTGAGTTAGCAAGGAGCTGGAATCCAAATTCAAGTCCATGGCATGCAGTCATCCCAGATGGCATCCTAAATGCTGTGGTAGACACGTGCCTGGTGCCTTTTTCCTGACTTTCCTGAAATTATAACGATAGGGGTATGTTTAAAGGCACATTTAAATAGTGATCAAAATTGCGATAAATGCCAATGTGAGGAATATGTAGGAAAAATGGAGTATTTACAGTTATTTTACAAACACTTGTTCTAATTCATTGCCTGCAAACAGTTAATCATTTAGAGCAAAGTGAGTGTTCAAAGTTAAATTTACCTTCTAAATTTCATGCTAGAATTTCATTGTTTGCAAAAATGCTAGAGGAAGAGAGTGCAGTTGGAATTTACTAGAAACCATTTTTCTCATGGTTGTTTGCTCTTGGTCTTTTGATATATGTCCTTTTGCAGTATCTGCATATGCATAGGCTCCTGTTGCACTAACCAGCTTTGAGATGTTTCTGGAAAATAATCTCCCTTCCCTGTCCTCTTTTTTTGTTGTTGTTCTGGTTACTTGGTGTGACTTTGAGGTGTTCTCATATCAGTGCATATAAACTTAACTTATTTTTTATCAACCCTGTAGCATTTCTCATGATAGGTACACTGTAACTTATTTAATAAAACTTTAGTAGATAGACAATTTTTGTTGAATTAAAAAATAAATGTAAGAATAATTCTGAGGCTTTGGGCTAAATTGGGAATTTTTTTTTAGTGTTGATTAAACTTTGCCGCTAGAGCTGCTCAAAATTAATGTCAGTTTGCTTAGTTGGTAATTTAACGCCGGGGGCTTTACAAAAGAATTTGCACAAAGTAGAGAAAGAAGTAAATCCAAAATTAATGTATGTGAAATATTTTTTTTTTTACTTTGAGTATTACAACAATAGTCTGCCAGATATTTTGGGGGTCATTAAGGTCATTTCTGTGACCATAGTCAATGGCTATACTAGTGTTTGTAAACGGTGTCCATTGGTAAGAAGGCAGTTTAAAAATGTCTGGTTCTTAATAAGCACACCTATTGAGTTTTTATATAATATTTGATTTTTCGTCTATTAATATAAACTTGGGGAAAACTCCTCTGTTAATATAACATTGCTGTTTTTGAGCTTTCTTCCCCCTAAGGCTAAAATTGGGAAGAATTAAAATATTTGAGCATAGAATTATTCTGCTTCTTGAAGTGATATGTTCCGAGCCGGCATGTTCTTGCTTTTATTTATTCCTAGTTATTTCCAAGGCATCGCCATTGCATGTGTCTTTCCATATTTCTCTTAATAACTCAGTCTTTGATACTTTAGATCCCTTTTTCATTGTCACTCTTCAGTATTTATTTTTCCCTAATATGTTTATATGGCTTTATATGGTTTTCCCATATATGTTTATATGTTTATATGGCTCCTTAATGAGGTTAAAAATCATACATGAAAAGTTAAAATATTTGCATTTGTAATTTTGAAGAAACTTAGTTGAGAGTTATCTACTTACCGTCATTTAACATTCAATCTAATGTAATCAAAAGTTTCAGGAATTCTGTTACGATTTAACTAAAAAGCATTAAAGATTTCATCATATTTCCTAGGAAATTAAATTTCTCATAGCTTATGGTTCATTTATATTCAGACATGCGAACCAATTTATAGCTTTTCATGTTGATTTATTGATGAGTCCAATATCATGTATAATAAGACACTCTGATAACATAATCAAATACATTACTACAAAAGCAACTATTGTGTTGTAAAAATAGTTTGCATGTCATCTTGAACAATAATATGCTAAAGTGAAATAGTTTCAATGGGAAATTAGGCAGTGTTTATTGCTACATTAAATCAGATGTATTTCTGATTAAGCGAGGACAGTTTGTGGCACTTTGGAATAGGAAAAGAAGCAATTATTTTTGCATTTGCAGTTCAGATGTGGAAAGTTGTTATGATAATTTAGTATGGTTTTTTTTTTTTTTAAGGAAGGGTTTTAAGATTCTTTTTTATTAAAAGACGGTTTTAGAGAGAGAGGGAATCGGGAGGTGGAGACAGGTTTTCAATCCATTGGCTCACTTCCTAGTTGGCATCAGTGACTTTTCTGGGCCCGTCTGAAGCCAGGAGCTTCTTCCTGGTCTCCCAGCAGCTGTGGGCCCAAAGGGCCTGTACCATCTTCAGCAGGGATTGGCTTGGCCGTGCAGCAGCTGGGACTGACCAGCGTCCACCTGTGTGCTGGGGTTCCAGGAGGCGGCGTACCTCTACAACGCCACGGAGCCAGCTCCAGCACAGGAGCGTTCTGGCACAGGATTCAGAAGTGCTTTTGCCCAACCCCAAACACTTGCTCGCATATTTCAAGTTGTCTTTGCATTTATCCATTTCCTAATTCAGCAAATTTTAGTAACTGCCCTCTTTATGCCATGAATAATTGTAGAAACTTCAGTGAGCCAAGTAGTCAAGTCTTCCTCTCAGTGGGATAAGGAGAGTGTCTACTTTTGACACTCTGAGTTAAGATTTTTCAACTTTGTGATCGTTTGAAAGCAATATGTAACAGAAATTGTGCGTTGCATTTTGACTTCGGATCTTTTCCTGAGCCTGTGGGATGCAGTCCAGGCCTCATGTTGTGCTGGTTGCTGGAAATGTGGTTCAACTGCTAGTTAGCCCTGTGGTTTCAAGAGAAAGCAAGCATTCTCATGCAGTATCGAACTTGGCTAAGCTACAGCAGGGTAGGTGTATCGTATATAGAAATATTTATAGAATATGTAATATGTATTTGTGTATGTCTATATGTACATACATGTTGGAATACTACTCAGCTATAAAATAATCAAATCTTACCATCTTCAAAAACAGCTGGGTGCTTTCAGAAATCATTACGTTTACAGAGATAAAGCAAAAAGAATTATATCATAGGTTTGCTCTGATATGTGGCAGTATCTCCCTGAAACTGGATTATTGTTTATAGACATTGTCTAGATGGTAAAGTGATTTCTCCACTTTTGCTTGTTTATATTTTTAGTTAATGTCACATTAGCCCAGGGTTTTAAAGTAAATTCAAACTATGGGAAACACTTTTAAAATGGGGGTGAAATTACCCCTTTATTAGAACAGTCTATGACCTACTTGTAATTTGTTCTCTTTATATTAGTAACTTCATATTTTTAAAGATTAATTTGGAAGATATGGTCAAAGAGAGAGAATAAATATGGATCTTCCTTCCATTGGTTCACTCCCTAAATGGCAGCAAGACACACACTTTGGCCAGGCAGGAGCCAGGAGCCCCATCCAGTCTCCACTGTGATTACAGGTTTCCAAGAACTTGAGCCATCTTCCACCACTTTCCCAGGTCCATTAGTAGGGAGCTGGATTGTAAGTGCAATAGACAGGAGTCAAATTGCTGCCCGTGTGGGATACCAGCCCCCTCACCGTGGGTCTCAGCTTCACTTGGTACACCAAAGTGTTGGCTGAATAAAATGTTAAACACATACATGAAAATATTCTCTTTGTTCACAATTTTTCATTAGAGTATACATAAAAAAGAATATTACTTTAAAAAGTAATGCTGAAGAAGAGGTGTTATTTTTGCGTTACCTTCTGCTTTCAGAATTGTGTCAAAGTGCACTCTGCTTTGTCTTTCCGTGTAGTACAGCTGAAAAATGCCAAGACACTGCATGTCAACAGTCTGTAGAAGGGCAGTGGCTGCAGAAGGACTAGCAACCACGGAGCCCAAGTGGCCGTATGATGGTGGCTTCACTTTGTGCCATGTTTGTCAGCCCAGACTGCATGTTTGAGTAGTGGGGTCACCCAGAAATATCAGTGGGCACATGAAAGACAAGTGCACCCAAAGGCCTAGTGTGCGTAGTAGCTCTTCCACGTCCACTAGACTCTTAAGGAAAACCTGTAGCCTTGTGGTGGGCCTGTGGCGTAGCAGCTATGTGCTGCTTAGAGTGAGTGCATCGCCTGCCTGATTGCCTGTGCAGACGGTGACAGCATCTGCACTTCGGTCCCTGTCACCCATGTGCGAGTCCAGTGTTGATTTCTGGCTTTGCCCCGATCTAGCCCTTGCTGTGAATGGCAAGAATTTGGGGAAGTGAACCAGCAGAAGGAAATGTTCTGTCTCTCTACCTTTCTTAGTAATAATAAACAGTTAAAAAAAAAAGAATCTTTTAGATTTATCCTTACTTCTGCCAACAAAGGCTTGTTAAAAAGGAGCACCACAGTTCCCTCCCTTGGCAGGTCATAAGAGACATCCTTCTTTTGGACTCCTGCTTGGTATAAATTATCATTCAGCAGAGTCAGCGTCAGCTGTGGAGGAGCCCTGGCTTCTGCCCTAGTCTGGTGTTCCCGAGGTATCCTTCCCTTCCCTCTGGCAAAAGTGTCAGGGGATGCCCAATGGAATGTGGGGGTCCTCATTGTTGCTTCGTGGTGATGAAGCCACCCCACAGTGGGGGAAAAATAATGTGGCAACCTTAGGTTCTCCCAGCCACAGTGCTGCCGTTAGTGGAAGCCTGTTGGGAAGTGACGCTCCCAGCCATGTCAAGCAACAGCAGTGGGAACCTGTGTCCCCCAGTGGAACAACTGAAGGGCCTAAGCTTTGCCT